TTTTTTTTTTTTTTTTTAATTAAAGTTTGACCATTCTAAAAAAATCCTGGTCCTTCAGATAATAACTCACAAATTACTCTCTTACAGCAGCACCTCATGCAGTGAGGGTGTCATTTAAATAGACGGGATTTAGAGTCCCAAGGCCACCCCTACTCTGCAGAAATGGAAGCTTAACTCCAGCTGTGAGAAAAACACAAGGCTAAACTTCCTCTGACTAAGTTCACTGTACTGTGACTTGATTAACTTGGAGAAATTGCATGCAAAATACAATTTTCTGCTTGCAATATGCCCAAGACTTGCATAAAAAAAACCCTTCTGGTATAAATTCACGAGAAATAAACAATCCCCTGCAAACAGATATCATTTAGAGCCCAAAAGTACCAAGGAGGAAGCAAACTCTGCTTTCCACCCAGCCACCACCAGCTTCAGGCTGAGGCACGAAATGAATCAATGCAGCTCAGCAGATGTGGGAACAAAGCAGGACCGTCTTACCCGATGCTTTAGCCCAGGAAGGTGGGTTCTCTTCAGGAGTCCCAAAGATGCTGGATGCCATTTTGTTCCTCCGCACGGGTTGTTCTTTGGGCTCATCAAACCCCAGGGAGAAGTTGGACCCTCCTCCAGGAGGACGCAGGACTCTGCAGAGAGAGGGGCAGCTTTACAACCTGTACCCCTGCTGAAAGCTGCACTCCAGCCCATAAATCAGAGGCTGCCATGGCTCCAGTGCATCATTTGAACTATCCAGGTACGCCCCTGCCAGAATTCCATCCTGGCACTGCGTCTCCACTACTCTTCACTTTAGCAACACTTACAGAAATAAAATGCTCCCAACACTCTACTCGTGCCCTTGGCTTCATTCAGTGTCACCAAGGGCTGCTGCCACCAGCCTTCAGTCTGAGCCAAATAGAAAATAAGTACGTGGGCTTGTCAAATTCCAGCTTTTTAAAGAGAACTCTGTGAAGGTTAACATCAATCCTCCAACTGGCAGCAGGGCAAAGGCTGAAGTTTGGACTATGAGCCAAAGGACTGGTTGCACCACTGATGGCTGCAGCCTTTTTTTAGATTTGTTTCCTCAGAAAAACCATCAAGTCTGCAGCATGATTCTGGTCTAGAGGCAAAAGGTGCAATCAAACAGCTTTAAGTTGACTATTATTAGGAGAGACACGTGTACAAAGCTCCAGATATGTAACCTAAATCTAACAATCTGCTGTTAGACAAAAAAGGAGCCTGCTCAGTACTTCATGAGCTTTATTGTTGGTCTGCTTTCCAACCTGCAGAAATCAACCAAAATTAACAGCAGCGGCAAAATAAATCTTTAAATGTAAACTCCTCCTGATCTTATTTTCTTAAGCATGAGATCTTGTATTTGCTGGAGAAGCCAGGAGAATAAAGCTGACAGTGTGAGAACTGTCACAACCCCCAGAGAGATGTGAGTACACCAACAGAATTTGGGGTTTCTTGGGCTTTCAAGGCATCCAGTGCTCTGAAAGAACACCAGGACAAAATAGGGATGGGTGCACCCTTCCTGTTCTTTACAAATAATTTAATAAATCAAAGTTAGAACCTCACAAAAGGGAGCAGCACACAGCTCGTTGATGCTCCAAACCTGGGAATTCAACACGAAGAGTGTGTCTTGATTGTACAGTGTCATCACCACGGCTAAAGCATTCAGATATTTGGAGATTTTGCGCTTGTTAAACTCCAGATGCAACACAAAAACGCTCCTCCAAGCTCAAACACAACAATAGCAATGGAAATTCCCAAAGGTGTGCAGCATGGATATTTAATGTTACTTAACCAGCAAGCCACTTTTCCTTAAAAAATTCTTCTCCAAAGTTCTAATTACTAATGCTCAGCTGCTAATGGGAGGATCCCAGGAGACTGGACAGTATGTTTAATTATGATTTGTTTTGTCTCCTCCCTGAATTGGTGTAATGGTTTTGAATCACTCGTTTATCTTTTTTATCCCGAGAAAATGTCTCCATTTATTTGCTTAGTTACAACTGTTGCAGTTAATCTGAAGAACAGTCTGTTCAAAGCAGGGCTTGTTCCCACACCACAGATCACCTCTATTTCACCAGAGCAGTGAAACTACTACTCTCTTAAGGACACGACAGTTTCCACTGACAGCCTTTAATGACATTAACAGAAGAGGCAACTGAAGGGAAAAAAAAGCCATCACTCAAACTGTTAAAAAGGAATAATGCCTTTTTACCAACCTCAGCAAAAGGCTGGCAGGTTTCATTAGAAGCCTCTCACAGCCTGGAGATGCTGTAACGTGCTTTATGAAAGCCACGTTTAACACTTCAAGCAAGGAGCTGCTCTTAAAAATTCCACCTGATACCCAGCGATGTCCATTGAAAATCCACCCACAGCTCCAGCCGGGAAGCGCTCTGGAAACACGCTTTGCAAAGGGTTTGTAACACGCTTTGCAAAGGGTATTTTTCGCTTTAAAACACACCCTGAAAAGCTAAAAGGAAACAGGAAGCATCCGCTTTGTCAGGCCAAAACCTGACAGGGAAAAAAAAAAAAACAAAAAACAAACAAAAAACCACACGACAGCCTGTAAAAACGGCACGATCCTCTCCAGCTGCGCCTCCGGAGAACGCGGGTGCCCGACAAACGCCGCGCATCTCCTCCACGCCAACCTGCCAAGTTTTTCTTTGTTTCCAGACAGGCTCCGCTTCCAGCCCCCCACGCCCCTCCCAGCCTCGGGAGCGGGGAAGGGGCGACCCCCGGGTACCGTCACCCCCCCGAACCCAGCGGGTCCCCCCGGGCGGGGCGGCGCAGACAATGGAGCCCGCCCGGCCCCACCCAGCCCGCGGCGGCCCGAGGGGTCGGTGCGGCCTCGGGGATGGTGGCGGGGGAAGGCGGCGGGGAAGGCCCGGAGGGGCGCGGTGCCCCCCGCCCCCGCGCCGTGGCTGCGCGGAGAAGGCGGGGAGTCGCCTCCCTTCTTTGTTCGGCGGCAGCGGCGGGGCCGCACTCGCGCACCGGGCGGGTCTCGGCGTCCCCCGCACCGCCCCCCGCACCGGGCACGGCGCCCCCCGCAGCCCCCCGGGTGGGCGCGGCCGCCCCCAGCCGACCCCCCCCCCGGAGGACCCGCACGCCGCCAGCCCCGGCGTGTCCGCCGCAGCACCGCGCCCCAGCACCGCCCTGGGGCCGCGCCGGACAACACCCCCCGCCCCCAGGACCCCCGGCCCCGCCGCCATGTGGGTGCCAGCGACCCCCCGAGCGCCCCCGCGGACCTGGAGCTGTTCCTGCCATTGGGGTCCATGCCCGAGAACGTGGCCGTGGTGGTCATGGCGGAGGGGCGGGGGGAGCCGGAGCGAGGGAAGGGGGCTCTGTGCAGTAGCGGTCCCGCGGACGGTGCTGCTCCTCCCGCCCGGCCCTGCCGCTGCCGGTGACAACTGCGGCCGCCGCCCGCACCACCGCGGGTTTTATAGTCGCCTCAATCCCCGCCCACACTCAGCCTTCTCATTGGACTGTTCAAACGCAGTCGCCATCTTCTATTGGGCCGTGCCCTGCCACTCTTCCCTCTGCCCCGCCCCGCCGTCTATCCCGGGACGCCTCGCCTCACCGGCGGGAGCCCATTGGTTCAGCAATACGTCTGCTCCGCGCTGATTGGCCGCAGGCGAGCGGCTGCGCCCTGTGCCGGGGATTGGCGGGAGGGCTGTCATTCACCTCTGGCGCGCGCTGTGATTGGCTCAGCCGCGCCTGAGGAGAGACAAAAGTGCCCGCGGCGCTGCCCCCGCTGAGGGCCCCGGGGAGCGGGGGGTCCACTGAGGGAGTCCTGCCCCCCCTCAGCGCCCTCCCGGCCCCCTCATGCCCCGCCGTCCCCACAGACACCGCACAGGACACACCCTCGGGCCACCAACGCCCCTCCCTGGCACCCACTCGGCCACGCAAGGCCCGGTCCCTCGCACTCATGGCCGTGCCAGCCCTGCAGGTGCCTCAGGAGGTGCCGTGGAGTGGCTCCAACGTACAGGGATGAGCTACTTCAGAATCATGACCAGCCTTAATATTAACACAGGGAAGAGCTGAACTGCTAAAACTACACACAGATTAGAAAAAATAAAACGCTGTGGTCCTAAGACCCATCAAAAAAAAAAAAATCTTGGCTTTTTTTTTTTTTAAAAAGGCTGAACCAAGGCCGTTGTGCTGCAGGAGGTGTTGGCACAAGGCCGCACACGTCAACGAGGGCAGAGACACAGTGA